TTGGTTTTCCATCAAGCCTACACACAGTTGGACTAATTTTGTTCAGGGGGCTGGTCACAAAACGACGGCTGGTTGAAATCAAGGGACGCACGTGCCAACCTCCAAACTGTGAACTGAGCCAGGGAGTGACTGACATTTGAAGCTGAATCCGTATCAATAGCGGAATCCGTATCAATCATACCCTAGGTCCCCCAGCTAGCTGCCCTTTTACCGTTTCTTTTTTTTGGGGGGAGGGTTCCCCTACTTCTTAGACTACAGAAAAAATGGGTAGCCTTGTTCTGACCCCTCTACTGGAGGACCGAGTACCCCCTTACCCTGGCACCCTGGACTATGGGCATTCGGGGGAGTTGGCCGCCAGAATTCCATGGGGTCCATTTTCCCCTTGCTTGCAAGAGACCCTCCGCTTCGCGCGTCTTAGGACATGATCAAGGACAGGGCGATGTTTTCTCGAGTCGCCTTTTTTGCCCTGAATCCCCCTGGCGTGCCCTGAATACCCCTGACCCTTTATGGTCAACGGAAACCACAAGGGAAACAAGCCATTCGGGTTTCCCAAAATTCCAGGGAGCCCAAGTTGTGTCAGACTCCATTCCTCGGACGACTTTGCAGATGACCGCCCTCCAAGCAATATTGGAAGAGCATCTTGCGCAACGCATTGGTTTGCTTCCCTGAGCTGACGAAGTGCAGATCCGGCACAGCCTGACCAGAAGCTAATGCGACTGTCAAGCAGTCGTGTTTGCTTTCGGTTCGGTCCCCTGTTGTCACCCTGCGCTTTGGTTCATGGGGTCGGGCGGCGCTTGACCTGGGAACGCATTGCGCAGAAGGCATTGCGCAAGACAGACCTTGGCTTCGCTTTGAACAAGTCAGAAACCATGCTGCATATGTGGAGCGAGCGTGGAACCATATTTGCCCAATCAAGATCGTCACGAACCATCGGACCACCCCAAGGCTCATTTTCATGTTCGCTCCTTTCTCCTTTGCTTTCTTGCGTCGGGATGGCGAGCGCGAGCGCAGCGCTCGCGGGTTCCGTTACTTGCCCTTCTCGGCTTTTTGCCGCTCTGCTCCTTTGAATGCCCGCCCCTAGGCTCCCACCACCAGTAATTAAACTCGCCCCTTTCACAGGAGAAGCTGGGCTTGGCCGGGGATCAGGGCGCGGTGCTGCGGAGGCTGGAGCAGATCCTGGGCTCCTTGCAGACCTCGTGCTGGGACCCCGGAAAACCCAGCCGGGCCCAAGTGGCTTTGCGGGGCTTGGGGTTTCTTGGCCGTTTTGTCTGTTTCTTTTGTTTCCCCCCGTGTTGTTTGTGTGTGTGTGTTTTGTGTTTTTTTTCTTTTTCGGTTCTCTTGAAATCCTCACTTCAGAAGCAACCAGCACCCCCCGCCCCACCCCAATGGATGCATTTTGGACAGCATTTAACCAATAAAACAACATCAGGTCATCAAACAGGACCATTGAAGAACAAACTGGACCAGACCATCCGGCAACCCCCAACCACTGCATTTTGGACAGTACTTGGGATTTGGGACATGGACAAAAGCAGTTGTTGGGGGGGTGCTGGAGAGAATCAGATTTGGAGAGGTCTCGGAAATTTGAGACAAGCCGAACTGCAAATCTTGGGATGTGCAAAGTCGATCGACCTCAATGGGTTCCGCTCACTCCCTGGGTTCCGTTTCGGACTTGAGTTTGGCACATCTCAGGAAGTGAGGAAATAACACTTGTCACGAAGACGGATCAACCAAAAGTTTCTCGACTTTTTGTTGGCCCATCCGGGCCCATGCACTCGATGGGACGTGAGCCAATGGAAAAAAAAAAGCAGTGGGTCAAAAAAAGAGGTCCCAAATTTGGATCCCTGGCAAACGGAAACATGGACTAAAATCTGCGGTCCCCTGGTGGTTTAATTTTGATCCACATCCAAGTGTTCTGTGGACGCGTTGCTGAGGCTCTCCGGACGACGCCAGCGACTCCGATTGGTCCACGCCCTCTCTTCCGGGTACGGAGGCGCAAGGCGAGCCCCGCGACGCCCGGGGCCGAGCGCGTTTGAGGGATGCGCAGGTTGGGGGGGGGGTCCGGGGTTGTGAGGTGAAGGGAAAACCACAGGGCCAGAAGAAAGATTTTGCCTTTGTTGTTTCTTCAGCTAGGTCCCCCAGTAGTGCCCTTTTACCCTTTTTCGGGGAGGGTTTGCCTACTAAAAGAGACAAAAAAAAACGGTACCCTTATTCTAACCTCTCTACTGGAGGACCTAGTCAGGAAAGTCCGTGGGTTATGTCAAACAAGTGCAAGGGTGGATCTAAAGGGAATTTATGAAATGGAATCTAAGGGATCGAGCAGGGGAATCTAACTATCAGTGTCATCTTCCAGAAGTGGTAGATTCCCTATCATAGTTTTTGTCCCTGGCCTAGGGAATCTATCACTACCGGCAGGTTTTCCATTTAATCCAGTTCGCAAAGGGAGGTCCAGGGTCACCGAGGGCTTCTTACGGACGATCTCACCGAGGTGTCTCCACGGCCGTGGTGATGAAGCCCGGGCGCACCGAACTGAGTTCGGACGTCAAAACGTCTCGACACGGATCACGATCGAGGACCGAAGAGAAGCCTTGGACCATTTGGGAGTTCTCACTCCCTGAGTTTATGGACTTGATGCGTTTTGGGTTTGGACCATTTTAGTGGCAAACCAAAAGTTCAGGCATTTTGGCCAATCCACTCAGGAAGTGAGATTTGCTTTTCCACTCAACGTGCAAGAAGTAATCAACCTTTAAACTTCAAGGCGCGAGGAGACTTAGAGCATCCCAGGAACAGAACACCCCTTCCACTCGGCTGCTGTTGGGTTCTTGAACCTTTAAGTAGTGGTGGTTAAACATGATTATTTTCCCACGAAGCGGCAACAAGTTAAGCTCTCTGGCCAGGGGGGTTAATAGCAATCAAGTGAGTTGATTCCTGGATGTTCCAAGCAACGTGCGGGCATTTCTTCAGTCAAACCAAGACGTAAAGCATCACATACTTGATGAGGGGTCGCTGCATTTCCCTCCAAAAGTTGCAATTTGCTGGTGGTTTGCTCTTAAGCTGCCACTGCTGCAGGTCCGAAAAAAGGTGAAAAACGTTTGATGAACTCCCTCCTCGCAAAAGAAACCACGGCCTGGTTGGTTTTGCAAGTTCTCTTAAACTGCTTTTTGTACCACCCATGTGTTCAACAAATGCGGCTTTCACCTGATGCGGGGGTGGGGCATAGAACGTCTTTGGATACGAGACGGGCCAGCAAAATTACCGTCCTAGATGGACAAATTCCTGCGCCAGTTAGGATGGGTGAAGCCCAATGAATACTAGGAGTTCTACATGCACCAGCTGGCCTTTGCGTGCATCCTAGAGACCCCGTCTTAGCCTCTTTTTTTTCTGGCATGATCGTCGTGTGAAATCTAGGATGCAAAATAAACAGCCTTCCAACTGCCGTCCACCTGCATTGCGAGGCTTTGGGCCATTCTCAACTATAGCGTTCTCGTGTGAGGATGGACACGGCCTCCAATCAACGCTGTATGCGTGTGAGCCATTGCTCACCTGTTCAGTTGGCAATTTAGGCAGGGGCGTCGTCTTTTACATTGAGACATGCCCACTTGTAGACCGGCTTCCTTGTTTAGCGTAGACGCAACAAGTGGAAACTGTTTCTGGCCTGTCAACTGAGCAGGTCTCAATTCAGCACCTTGTCAGCGCGGTCTCTTTGCGTCGGCTTCCCCTTGCCAAATGATATGATTGTTTTCCCTTTGTTGGTTTTAAAAGTAATTTATCACCACTGGGCATATTTCTCATTTTTGTCCAGGGGTCTTATCGAAATGGAAGTCGGGCAAGACTGCGCGAGCTGTTGCGGGCCGTTTCGCAGGCTTCTCACAAGGTAGAGCCGTGACCCAAGAGGCCAGCAAAGAGAAGAGCGCAAGGGAGCGCGCACAGAACCGGAGTGGAATTTCCACTCGGGCCAGTTCCTGGACGTTAGTCTCTTTTTTGGGGGTTTGGACCATTTTTAGTGGCTAAGAATGAGTTCGGACTGTTGCTGACCAATGCTCTCAGGAAGTGAGAACCTGTTTCTTGTTCCAAGATCCGCCTTTGGGTTTCCCTTTAGGGGATGGTAGCTAAAACAAAATTTGCCCAACCCTGCCATGATTTGCCTTGAACCACAGTCAGAACTACTTAGCCTCTTGCTTGCGATGTAGCTGTGCAAATTCGGACGCCCGTGCAGGCCCATGTGTGTGTGTGTGTGTGTGTTGTTTTTGTTTGTCTGTTGTGTGTTTGTGTGTTGGTGTGTGTGTGAGTGTGTAAGTGTGTGAGTGTGTGAGTGTGTGTGTGTGTTGTTGTTTTGTTTGTGTCTGTTTGTGTGTGTGTGTGTTTGCGTGTGTGTGTGTGTGTGGGTGTGTGTGTGTGTGTGTTTGTATGTGTGTTTGTGTGTGTGTGTGTGAGTGTGTGAGCGTGTGAGTGTGTGAGTCTGTGTGTGTGTGGGTGCATTTTGTGTGTGTGCGGGTGTTTGTGGGTGTGTTAGTTTGTGTCTGTGTTTGTGCGTGTGTTTGTGTGTGTGTGTGTCTGTGCGTGTCTGTGTGTGTGTGTCTCTGTGTGTGTGTGTGTGTATTTTTTGTGCGTGAGCGCATGCGTGAGTGCGTGCGTGCGCGCGCGTACATGCGTGCGTGCGTGCGTGCGTGCGTGCGTGCGTGCGTGCGTGGGTGGGTGGGTGGGTGGGTGGGTGCGTGCGTGCGTGCGTGCGTGCGTGTGTGTGTGTGTGTGTGAGTGTGTGTGTGTGTGCGTGTGTGTGTGTGTTTGTATGTGTGTTTGTGTGTGTGTTTGAGTGTGTGAGTCTGTGTGTGTGTGTGCTCGTGTGTGGGTGTATATTTTTTTTTGTGTGTGTGTGTGGGGGTGTTTGTGTGTGTGTGAGTTCGTGTCTGTGTTTTGTTCCTGTTGTTTTCCCTGCGTTAACCACGTGGCTGTGCCTTCTTGCGGGTGATTTTCCCCGACGCTGGCGCCGTTGTTTTTGGGCTCGAGGGCACCCGATGAGCAAGGGGAAAGGCGTTCATGTGGCTTTGCTCAGCGGGCAGACTGCGGCGCTGCGCATCGACGCAAGCTGCACCGTCAATGAACTGAGGATCCTTGCTCAGGAGCAGCCAGGTCCAAACATGGCTCGCTGCGGTTTGGATTTTTGCTAGCCAAATTCTAAAGAATTGACCCTCACCCACTAACATAGCACCTGTACAAAGGTGCATAGAAGATGATTTTCCTCTTGAAATTGTCTCTTGTCGGGTGCCATGTTAGTGTTTAGGGTAAAGAGGAATGACACAGTGGACCATGTCTTTGATCTTTGACAATTGCGTTTGTCTGGGAACTTTCATGGGGGCTGGGGAGGGAGGGAAGGGGGGAGGGAGCCCAAATAAGCCCTTATTAAGGCCTTATTCATGTTTTGTTTCTCCCCTCCTTCCCCTCCCTCCCCAGCCCCCATGAAACTTGTTTGAACCCTTCCTACATTCCGCGGCGCATGTCGGCGTTTGTTGCCAGGAGGAGCTGGGAATCCGGATCTGCGGGCTGGCCAGCAACGGCCAGCTCCTGCCGCCCGACAACAGCTGCGGTTCCTTGTTCTTGGTGGCTCCGGGCCATCCCCTTAGCTTTTTAGTCTTTTAGTGTTTAGTGGTCGTTTCCATTTAACCCACTAAAAGTTAAACTTTTCGCGGGGGATCTGAGGGGACGACTAGATGAAACAATGGAACTGATTGGGGGAGGGGGGCAAAAACGACCTGCGGATATCTCCATTTATGGCAACCCACTTTCCCTATAATGAAGACTAGATAATTGGAATTGAGTTCCGGACCCCCCCCCCCCCGGCCCATTAAAGTCGAGAGATTAACTTTGTTTGCGTCTCGCGCGGCTGACATGATAACAAGCAGGTCTGTGGTTTGTTTTGCTTGCTGTGACGCGACGTGTCGCCCAACAAAACGCAAGTCACAAATTGCGATATCACATGTGGGGAGTGAGTTCCTGGACTTTAGTTTAGACTGTTGTTGTTTTTGGCCAATCCGCTGAATTGGAAGTGAGGTAGTTAGTCATTCAAGCCCCACAAGGGCACTTTTTTTGTTCAAAATCTATCGCACGTGCCCAAGAACAATTTTGACCTTGCCCACTCACCTCACGTCGGTGTTTCACATCCGAGGGCTTTTGATCTGACGTTCGATGCCCGCTGCCCACTGGCCAAAATCTCCGCCCTGCGTGGTTGTTGGGAAACAATTTACACTTTTGCTTATTGTGGTTGAGTGATTGAAATCCAGCAACTTAACTAACAATAACCACTAAACCACATGATAAATCAAAAAAAACAACACTAGTATTGAAATGCTAAGTTGTTTGTTGAAATTTAACAAATAACGTTGATTACGATTTGAATTTTTGCTCCCCTTCCCACGTCCACCAAGTCTGAGGCGTGGCTCCCTGCTGGTCTTCGACGCCGTGGAGGAGGGCGCGGTGCTGTGCGCGGCGGCGGCGAGCAGCGGGTTCCGCACCTCCGGACGTGCCTCGAGCAAGGGAGGAACCGCCAGCAGCATGCTTTTAATACCCCAGCTCAAGACCTTAAGGTTTAAATCATTTTCGTGTTTTTCGCTAAACCCTCAAACAGTGGTTCACTTTTTGCAGGGGGTGAACAGCAACCACTGGGGTCCACCGATTTCCTTTACCAGGTCCCCCAGCAGTGCCCTTTCCATCCCTTTTTTGGTTGGGAGGGTTCCCCTACTAAAATAGTCTACAGCAAGAAGTTGGTACCCTTTTTCTGTCCACTTTACTGGAGGACCTAGTGAGGGTCAAATTAAAACACTTTTTTTTGGTTCATGTCATTTAATTTCCTAGTTGTCCACATTTTCCCCTCAGAAGATTCGATCAGAACCCTTTCTTGTCAAGCTCAGCTGCATCGCTCAAAGTCTCAAATTGATTTGGAACGAATATTGATTCAAAGGGTTGGCTCTTGATAGCTATTGTTAGGTCGGAGATATCCTGATTCTAAGATGGTGTCCACTAATGGGGTCTTAATGCTGTTGATTAATTTCAGGGCTGCCTGACCTTTTAGTGCTCCAGGGTGTTACTGCACCAGGGGCATTGCGGGGGCCATTGCGCCATTTGTCACCCAACTGGCAAGCCACAGCTAACTACCAGCCTTTCCTCAAGTGAACTTTGGAGATATGGAGGCCAATATACCACCAATAACGGTGCACCTTATTACTGGTGGTTTGGGTTGTGCAAAGTGGGAAGCTCAAAGGTCTTTGTACAACTTGCTGGTGCGACAGGGAATGACCTTCAGGGTGTTGGGAATGAGCCGGTGTTGGGGATTCCCGAAGAAAGGAAGCCGCACGGGATTGGTTTTGTCTTGGGGTCAGTCCATTTCCCATTCACGGCCTATCGGGCCAGCCGGTTTTGGAGGCCCCCAGATTGAACAGGGGTTCATCAATTTGGGGTCAACATGGATGCCAGGTTAGACATAAGGGTCGAGTCAAACCCCCTGACCGGGGTTTGTCACCTTACCCATGGCTCGTTTCATAGGGAATCCCTTACTTTGGGTCCGCGAATCATCAAAGCCCATGTGATTGTGGTTGTGAGGTAAATGGAACCTAGGTCCCCCAGTAGTGCCCTTTCTCACCCCTTTTTTGGTTGGGAGGGTTCCCCTGCTAAAATAGACATAACAAGTTGGTGCCCTTATGCTAACCTCTCTAGTGGAGGGCCTAGTCATTGTGGCTGGCATGGTTTTTAGATGCCATTGTTTTTTGTTTATTTCAAGTTATTTTGGGTAGCTTCCCAAGGGTGCAATCCCAGGGTGTACTAGAACAACTGCCGTGGGTTTTCTCGGCAGGTGGCCCCGGACGCCGGGCGGCCGCCTTCGCGCTGGTCAAGGGCGATGGGCGAGTGGTCACCTGGGGGCTGCCCAGCGGCGCGGCGAAAGTCTGGAAGAAACCAAGCAAGGGGGGGGGGGGAGGAACTGGGGTCATCACTTTGACTCTTTAAGTCTTTCTGGGGGTGTCAAAGTCAGAAAATGGAATTGGTGGTTTCCTTTTAGCCCACCACTTGAGGGCTGACTTTGGTAAAAAAAAAAAAGAGGCCAAGGGGAAGGGATTAAGGGATGAGGCTACAAGAGGGGGAAGCAGGGTGTGTCTTTTTAGACCCCTGACATGTTTTTTTTTGGGGTTTCCTAAAGAAGACAGACCCAACAGGTGCAATGTTTGGTGACCGGGACATTTTTTGGAATAAGCCTGGACAGGTTTGCCCTTTGCCCTTTGAACCGATGTATGGTGGTTGTTTGGTCGTTTCACCATTCCCAGTCACCCCAAACAACCGAGACATCCTCAATCATGGCCTGCCAGCCCAGGATGCAAGGCCAACATGGTCTTGGGCTTCTGGACTTTGTGGTCTGTTCTTTTAAGGGTACCCCTTTGTTGCTCGTAACGGGAAACAAGTGGAAAACCGAAGCCATGTGGGGGGGGGGGGGGGAAGACCAGTTTAATTTTAGCAAGGAAGTTTGGCCAGTATGGTTTGGCCAATCCACTCGATGGGGAGTGCGGGGACTTGTACATGTTTTGTTTCCAATGGTGTTTTCTTGGAATTAGGTACCCTTTCAGGTTCGAATGCAAACCTGATACATCTACCATGGACAACTATACCACCCCCTGCTTTTTCCGGGGTCCAAATCCAAGTTTCAGGCTGGGGCGGGGACAGCAGCATGGTGCAGGACTCTGGTGTGAGCCCGGGGAGGGATAATCACAGCACAACTTTCCTTGAAATTCCGCCAACGACAAGCAGTCCGCAAAGCTTCTGACCAGACAGACGAACAGCTCACTTAGAGATGAAACGAGCTCACCTGAGGTCTTTAGGGATCCCTTGTTTTAGGTTTTGGAACATAATTTGCAGAATACACTGTCTTCCCCAGATGAAGACGGAACCAGAAAAGCCAAGCCACTTTGTTGAGAGGAATCTCTTTCTTGGGAAATGGACCCCTTTTTGAGTTGCACGTCCATGTACAGGGGGCATGCGACATGATTTGGAAATTGGAGGAAAGTGGAATCGAAGATGTTCTAAATGTAGCTCAGAGCATTTCGCGTTGCATGCTATGTCTCAAGTTGCACATGGCACGCGACTTTCGCCCTTTTTCGCAAGTCGAAGGAGGCAATGCTGCCGCGGCCTCCCTGAGTTCCGTTTCAGACTTTAGTCGCTTTTATTTGGGAAGACCATGTCGTAAACTCAGAATTTGGACAGTTGTTGAAGTGAGATCCTTGCCTTTGCATGGCAAGGGATGGGGATTTCCTTGCTTCAGCTCCGTTTTGCGTTTGCCGGCGGATGCAGGCAGATGCAACGGCGCCGCGTTTCGAATCGTTGAGTCATGGAACATGCGCCTCAAGTCGATTGAAGTTGTTGTATCCCCTCTCACTGCTTCAACTTGTCTCAAGTTGGTACTTCCAACCAGTTTTGGTGAAGCCGTTTTGGAACCGCGTTTGGTTGGGCTAGCCGCTAAGGCTCTACATCCCTGATTGGATTGCAAACTCAGACTGCCTGTTGGTGACTGTGAGGGCTTGTTATTTGCGGGCGGCCCATTCATTGCACCCTTCGGCTGCAATGACCGAAGCCAATTTATCCCACCTGAATCTCAAAGTCGACGGGCGCATCCTGCGACCGTCGGACGTTCCGGAGGAGCAGCTGGTGGACGTGCAGAGCTTGCAAGCCTCGGTGGCTTGGCCACGAGTTCGTGTGGATAGAATGGGTGGGTTCTGTTCTTCCACCTCTCAAAGTTCTGGGCCCAAAAAAGTACGGGAAAACTGACCAAACAGTTTCGGCTGGTCGGTACCTCATGGCTGAGGGTCTTTGAATGTCTCAAAAGGTTGAAACTCATTAGCTCAAAGGAAGTTTCCTTTCCGACTGCTGATTCAGCGTCCGGGTTCGGGCCAAATCAGCTGAAAGAGCTGGGTTGTAGCTTTCAAGGAGGAGGCGGGAGGATGGATACCCGGGCGTATTCTCTTAGGAAGTTCCCAAGAAGAATCAAGTACTGAAGGCGCCTGTAAGTCAGGGCATGTCTTTGATATCTCGCCTTTATGTTGCCACTGAGCAACTAAAAAGGTATGTGTCGCCTTCAATCTGAAATATGTGATACATAGCAACTATAAGTTTCAAACCACAAACTTACTAACCTTTTTCTGGGACACACGCACACGCACACGCACATTGTTTATGATTCTACCGCTGTTTGTTTTTGGCACAAACCACCCACTAACTTGTTGTTCTGCCCTTTCGAGGTACCAGTTGTTGGGTTGGTCGGGGAAACCAACAGGAAACCATTTAGTTTAAGGGCTTTCCTATTTCCCTTCTCTTTTGAACAGCACGGATTATGGAAAGTTGGATTGGAAATCCAAACCCGCAGCGACTATTTTGCAACTTGGTTTGGTTTAAAGGGACATCAACAGAAACCACAGAAACCACCTAGTTTGGCCAACGCAGGAGTCCTATTTGGCTATGAAATTGATACGGAAACTCAAAAATGGCTGATGGACGTGAATCCGCGCCAATTTCTCATGTCCATTAAAGGGTCCCTGTTTGATTCAATTTCACAGCCAAAGAACAGGATGGCCACCAGCTGGTGTTGGCAGTGCGGAAGGTGAACCGAGCGAAGCAATGTTGTCCCCAGATTAGGCAGAACCCATGCTTGATTTATTTTCATGCTGGGTGGGTCCCCTTGGAGTGAGGGGTCGGACCACTGTAGGGAACACCCCTCCAATTCAGTAGGAAGGATTTCTGCACTTTGTGGGAGAACATTTTAGTGCCCAGAGGCTCCCGATGTATTTTTTTTAGGGCCCTCAAACAAGGTTTTGAGACGCGGGGTGTCTAATGGAGGGTCTTCCGTTGAAAGCCCCAGGAGCCTTTGGGTGTTAAAGTTTGGACTTCTGGCCAATCCACCTAGAATCTGAGAAAAGAAACAAAACAACATTCTGGACCTTCAAACTACAGATAAAAAGGGGATTCACCCCATACATTTTTGCGTGGCGGGAACAGCCCATTTTTTAAGATACTTTTGAGGGTCCAGGTGCAACCTTTCCTGTGGGAGGGATCCGGGACCCCCTGTCAGTTGCCATGTTAGCGGGCCAGAGCAGCCATGTATTTTGCGTTTACGAGTTTTTGGTTTCTTTGGTTCTGTTCGTTCTTAGCCTGCTGCAACAAAGCGGTCAGTTCGCAAGCCCATCCCAAGGGTTGGGAAGATTTCACGCCGATCGGTGGGATCCGAACCAGATGTGGGACTTATCGGAAGCTCCCTCCATTTCGGGGTCCGGGGAGCTTCCGTGTTAGTCTGGGGGAGGATGGGATCTGAGAAACAAGATGCACCCAAGTATCTTGGGATCCCCACCCTTTTAACAGTGGATTTGGGGGAGGGATTTCGAGCCCTGGATCTCTCCATGGTTTTCCATTTTTCATTTTATGGGAAGATCAATGGAATTGGGTCCCGCACCCCCGCACCCCTCTCCCCCTCTATCAGTAGGATGATTGACAGGCCCCATTTCACCACTATCAATGTCACCTAAAGGCCCTAAGTAGGAACCAAACTCATGACCCCCAACTCGCAGGCCGAAAAACTCCTGCGCTTGTTCTTGATGGGGTCCTGAAAACCGGAGGTTCCGAACTCCGTCCGGGGGATATTTTGCAGGTCAAGGCCTTTTGCGCGCTGCGCGGGGACGGCACTGTGGTTACCTGGGGCGATCAGCTCTGGGGCGGCGACTGCTCCAAGGCGCCGAAATGAACGAAGTCGCGCGGAGAAAAACGGTGGAAGCCTCGGGGGGCCTCAAAAAGGGCCGGGGGTTTCTCCGTCTCACCCCCTGAGTTCCTGGACTTGCTTTTTCTTCCCTTTTTGGTAAACAGAAAGTGCGGACCCTTTTTGGGAGCTGGTGGGCCTCAACAACCTACTGGTGCGATTGGTAGAGAAGGACCGAGTCAGGGTGTCGGGAATCGACCGGAAGAGGATTCCGTGAAAGGAAGCCACAAAGATGGAATATAGGGCTGATTTCCTCATTTATTGCTGGTTTCTTTGTGCCTTGGATATAGGAACTCACTCCCGATCAAGTTCCGTTTCGGATTTTGGTCACTTTTTGGGGCTGGACCAGTTTAAAGGTAAAGAAAAAGGTTGGACTTTCTCTGGCCAGTCCACTCCCCCTCAGGAAGTGAAATATAGAAATGGGTGTGTCTTTAAATATGAGGACCTGCCAAATTGTTTTTTCCATTGGTTACCATCTCCTTAAAGGGTAGCCTCAAAAAAGTTACCCCCAAACGTCTTTTGATTTTGTTTGTGAAAAGTTGGGTTCACCATCTCTTGTTGGTTTTCTGAAGCACGTGCAAGCCCCAAGCAGCACTGTCTTCAATGGGTTAAAAAAGGTAGGGCTAGCCCTCAGCTGCATGTGACTCTCCAAACTGGTGGTTTCGCTTTGGTGAGGTTATCTCACGAAATGCCCCACAGAAAGCGCCCGCTGAGTTTGGATCTAACTTTAACTTTGGGTGACATTTTGTTGCTCACTAAAGTGACCGGCGCTTGGGGGCCCTTTCGTCCATGGCCGTGCTGTGCCAGTCATGCTAGCGATCCAATTGCATGCAGGAGGCAACAAGTTAAACTTTATGCGCGGCCGCTGCGCCGACCCCACAACAGCCAGGGGGGCTTCTAAGTGGAATGCAGGCAGGGACAGTTTAGCCGCAGGCCTGGCATTCAACATGTGGGAACAAATAAACAGCATGTCCACCAAAGCGATTTGGGACCTCAAAAAAGCAACACACCGATAGCTGTCCTTCTTAGAGTACTTTGGTTTATAGATGGGTCCCACTGGTTAGATGTCGTCATTCCATTTGACAGGGAACACCCATCTATTCTTACTTGCGGCTCCCAGCCAGCCAATTTGTTGGAGGTTTTGGGGTGTTTACTTGGTGGGTTTCCATTGAACTCCGTCAAACACAGGGTTGTTCCATTGAACCCAGTCAAAAACCTACCCATAAATGGGTTCCACTGGCTTAGATTTGTTCATTCCATTTAACGGCACCCATCTATTTTCCCAGAAAATCCACGTTCACACCAAAACACAGCCACCCTTTGAGGTGTTCTTAGGTTCTTGACGGGGTTTCCATTGAGCTCAATCAAAAACACGGTAGTTCCATTGAACCCAAAAACCAAAGAAACATCCACAGGCCAGGTTTTTAGGTTTTTTGCCTGGTCTGGTAGTTGGGTGTCCATTGCTCGGTTGGGTGTCCATTGCTTGGACAAGCAAAAAGCATCTATTTTCCCAAAAAGGCCATGTTCACTCCCCTCAAACACCATTTACCAGGGAGACCCATCTACAATCCCCAAAAGGAAACCAATAAAACACGGTACCCAATAAACCAAACACCCACCGGCACCAGGTGGCGGAGGAGCTGTGGGACGTGCAGCAGGTGGAGGCCTCAGACGGCGCCTTCGCGGCTTTGCGCGGGGACGGCCGCGTGGTGACGTGGGGGGACCCCGCGCAGGGCGCAGACTGCCGCCGGGTCCAGGACGCGCTCACGCGCTCGCTCGCCGATGGGATGGAACCAGATGGAATCTTGGGGGGCCTATTGGGGGGGGGGAGTCCTGTAACCCATGAGAACATGGCGGTGTTTTATTTGGGGGGGCACTGGGAGTCCAACTCGTGGACTGCTAGGGGTGCAACCCATGGACCGCCTAGGGGGCGGGGGCTAGGCCTATGGGGGCAGAAGCGGATACGCCCTAACGCCTGGGAGTCCTGGTGCTTTTTGGTCGGTTTGGCTGCATGGTAAATCCGGTAGTGAAAAAAGGTGCGCCTGGGGCCCCTGGGGGGCTGGCTTGGATAAGCCCAGATAATCCAAGGCTTAGGCCTTAATAAGGCCTTGCTAAGGGGTCCATGCGGGATGGTAAGCAAGGGCTTGCCACCCTTTCAGAGCCAAAAGGATCAAGCTGGTTACCTAGTATAGCGGTGACTGGAATCCACTGGTTTGTATAATTGTTCTCATAGGTCTCCTGTTTGGTTGATTTGGCTGAAAAATAGGCGGCGATTGCTGGCACAGCCCAAAAGAGTCTAACAAATCTGAGGTGCTTCGGAGCGACTGTTGCTGTTGGGGATGTCATGTTTGTTGTTTTTGCGGGGCAGGGGCCATTTCAAGAGGATGGTCTTCGAAAAACCCTCCGACATCAGCTTCCATTGTTGGAAAAGCGGCCACGCCCCGTTCACCCGTTTCAGGATTTCTCAACATGGACCCCTTTGCTTGGTAGTTAAAGAGAAGCCAAACCTTGCCATAGTTGCTGGTGTGCATTAGTGGTTTGAGGAGTTGAACCCCTGGCTTCTGTAGAGGGTGCAGGGTTAACCACCAAACCACCAAACCACATCACCAATTAGAGGGAAGCTGAAAAGCTAGCCTTTGTGTCCGAATCGCCTAGACCGACCTTTTGGAAACAAACGGAACTTGTCCATTCCTGCAACAGGTGCCCCAAAAGGACCTTTGGGAAGGAAGCAAGTGGGGCTCCATTCCAAAAGGACTCCACTCCCGATCCAGTTCCGTTTTCGGGCTTGAGTCACTCTTGGGGCTTGGACCATTTTGGTGGTGAACAACGAGTTTGGTTACTTTTTCGCCCCATCCACTGGATCGATGACAGCCCTGGGCATCCCCACCCCCTTAAAACAGGAATTGGGAGAGGGGTGGCTGGAGATCTCCTATGGTTCCACTTTCCCCATGGAGAAAACTAGAGAGATGGGATTGAATGCGATCCCCCTCCCCCAGAAGTGGGGATCCCTTCCATTTCAGGAGCTCTTGGTGGATGTCCGCTGGCTCATCGCCGGCAAGGGCGCCTTCGCCGCCTGCGGCGACTGCGGGGTGGTGACTTGGCCTTTCGCTTCGGCACGAAGAGGTCGCCCAGTGCCCTTTTACCTTTTCTTTTTTGGTTGGGAGAGTTCCCTGACTAAAATAGACTACAGAAAAAAGAAACGGCACCCTTATTTTAACCTTTTCAAATCTGGAGGACCTAGCGCCCCTTCCTGTTGGAAGAAACCCCCTGAGATCCCCTGCGACCCCAGCGGGTACCGCGTGACTTGGGTTCTTTGCTTGGGCTCAGGAAAGGCTTGATGGGTTAGACAGGGCTCCTTAAAAGATACATTTTGCCCATTTGAATCATGTTTTTTTCCACCAAAATATTGGGAAACCACCATTTACAAGGCAATGTTCAGGTGTATACTGTAAGGATCCCTGTTAGACCGTATCGCCGATCTCGTTGTCCGAGCCGACAAACTCAGTTGCCCAAGCGATGAAAAAACGTTTGATCTTTCGGTTCTCCAGTGGTCCATAGTCAAGGTCCGAAGAGGTTCACCTTTCTCAGATACCAGGGATATAGTAGGTAAACCGCCGATGTCCTTTTGGCAAAAAAAGGCGGGTTTCCTTGGTTGCCTATTTCCTTTTGGCTTTCAAAGGCTGTTTTTTTTGAGTTAACTACTAGACAGGGAAAGGGTACTGGGTTTATTTTCTGGTGCAAACTGGGCATGCCGCAGCCCAGGTGACCTGGGGCGATGCCAAGCGGGGCGGCGACTGCTCGGCGGTGAAGCATGAGTTGACAGAGGTGAGCCAGATCGAAGCGACCAAGGGCGCCTTTGCGGCCATCAGGGCGGATGGAAACTGAGCTTCAAGTTGTCTTGTTTATGTTTTGTTTAAGATTTGGATGCATGCATAAATATACCCAAAGATATCTGCACACAGACAGATGATGGAAGAGAGATAGATAGATGGATATATAGATGGATAGATAAATTTACGGAAAGATTTGTTTGCAAGGGTAAGTTGTGTTTTTCAGAGGAAGGGGGTCAAGGTGTCAAACATGTAGACTGGTTTCAGGAAAACGGCAACTAGGCTGCGTTGGTCAGCCAGACAGACAGACAGACAGACAGACAGACAGACAGACATCCAGGCAGACAGACAGACACACAGACAGACAGACAGACAGACGTAGGTACATAGATGCATAGATGGATAGATAGATAGATAGCTGTGAATTTGGCAACTGAGGTCGGGTTTGTTTGTTTTTTGGTTGATACGTTTACTACTAAAGTATATGAAGCTGGGGAAGGGCAAGCTCCCTTGTGCAGCGGAGGAACTGTGGTCACTTGGGGTTACGGCAAGCTGGGCGGAGACAGCAGCGCAGTTCAGGCCGACCTGCGCCAGGCAGGGTTTTTGAGATGCCGCCCTCCCCTTTGGACGGGTCACACCCGGCTCTTCGCGCAACGATTTTTTAAAGGAACACTCGAGCCCCTCATTTTTCCCTTTTTCGGACCTCAAGTGGGCAGTTGGACTGAACACCACCAGTCAATCGGGCGGACGTTCAGTGGTTTCTGAGCAACACGTGCCGCCAGACAGTTGACCCGGCCTCCAGTTTTACCCATTTCGTGGCCACGACTGGCATGAACATGTGACATTGGGCGCCAAAAAGCGATCATCAAGGCATCAGAAACAAAAGGGATCGCATGGAGGCAAGAAGGTGCTTTGGGGGAAGGTCCCCGGTAAATTTGATGGGTCTGCTGGGCCATGAGCTCGGCCTAGACCTCAAAAGGACCCTCTTACCTAAAAAGTGTTTTTGGATAGCCCCTCAGCTGCTTTTAGCCCGGATGAACCAGTGGGGCACCGTGGTTCTTTTCTACTTTTGGGTGGTGGGTTCCCCACTCAAAGCTTTCAACCCGAAGGGCTCCAATTCTTTGCCTAACGGGGCCTTAGCTCGACTTGGCTTAGTGGAACCCGTTCTTGAGGGTCGCTTGGAGCCACCGGAACACCTCAAACTGGGCTCCAAACCACCCTTTTAACGAGGGGAGCCGACCCTTTCCGTGGGTTGGGGGAAACCAACAGGAAGAAGAGTTTGGGGGTCCAAATCCTCTTTGAACTTAGGGGCAGCTTGCTTCGGGTTCTCCTGAGTGTCCCGCTTCCCGCCTTTTTGTTTGAAAAAAATACCAGCAAAAGAATCCGAACAATCCGTTTTGTGGGTAAACCATTTTAATCTAGAGGCCAAAGGGACTTGAGCCGGAAAAAATCCAAACTAACCCCATTTTGGTGTGTTCATGGTTTTTTTCTCCATTTTCGGCCGAGAAGGCGGGAAGGAAGGCAAGCGACTGCCCCCTGGTCCTCCGCGTCGCTCACGTCGAGCGCCAAAACGCGCGCGCGAAGTTTCGAACGCCTCGAGGTGCTGCAGATCCGGGGCTCCGAGGGCGCCTTCGCGGCGCTGCGGGCCGAGGGCTCCGTGGTGTGCTGGGGCGAGCCGCGCTCGGGGGGCGACAGCTCCTCAGTGCAGGACCAGCTCCGCGAGGCCGGCGCGATTGGGGCGGGGAAGATGTGTTAACTTGGTAGTTCCCAGCCATCCCCTTAGCTTGCTAGCCTTTTAGTATTTAGTGGGGATTTCCATTTAACCCACTAAAAGTTAACCTTTTAGCAGGGGATCTGAGGGCGGCCCAGTTAAGTGAACAAGATCTTAGTTAGTTGCCCCTAAAACCAACGAAGTTGGGGGGATTGAAATGTCAGGTTGGGCCGTTGGAAAATCCACCAGTGATGGGTTCGGGCTGGGGGCTGCGTGGGTTAGATGTTTTGGGGCTGTGCGCGTGTGTTTTCCCACTAAAAGCTGTGGTATGTTGATGCGCAAGAGAAGGAGATGCCGCGTTGCAAAATTGGTTGACTCCGCTGGGCTACTCGGTGGATCTCTGCTCTCGGACCTCTTTCCGTTTTTCATCGTGCAGCCCGTTTTTCCAGAAAAACCACCCCAACGCGACACCCTGGGGGGGGGGGTTCAGAAATCCGATATTGGGGGAGGAATTTTCTAAAACAATGGTGCATGAACGGGGGGGGTTCCCCAGCCTCTCCCCTCTCCCCTTTCTGAACTTGAGGATCTGATTTCTGATTTGGGTTTGTGGGTACTTAGGCCTTTCACTTGATTGCTGTTGGATCTCCAGACTTGGACTTTCTGGTTGGCGACTTTTGGGCATGCCGGATTGAACCCGTTACGCAGAGGGGTCTCACCAGCAACCAAGTGTTGGTGTGCCTTTTGTTTGGAATCGAGCTCCCCCCCCAAACAAAAAAGGAGCAAAACAAGGCGCAACGCAACGGTTTTCCTTTTAGCTTCCCTTTAAAAGTTTTCAGGTTGGTTGCACACAGCATTTGGGCTCGTAAGCGAGCCCAAGGGTCCCTCCCCCCCGCCCTGAAGCTGCCCCCCCCTGGAGGTGGAGCAGATGCAAGCCACCAGAGGCGCCTTCGCGGCCATTCGAGCAGATGGACTCGTGACTCAATTAGTCGCAAGCGTTTTTGCTTGTGTTTTGTTTTGTTCTCTGCCCATTTTTGTTTTTCTCTTTCTCTGCCGTGGTGTGTTTGTTTGTGTCTTTGTCTTCGCGTCATACCCCAGGTTGCTGCTGTTCGTAGGTGTCGATTTTTAGAGATAAAGCCCGTCATAGGTTGTTGCTTTTGTGTAGATTTCGTTTCTTTGGGCATCGTTATCAACGTATATGTTTTGCTTCGAGTGGTCGGCCTGATTGTGGTGCGAGTCTTATGTGTGTTATTGGCTTCGGTCCCAGCTGCGACGATGATTCTTTGCTTTTGCTTGCTCCACGCCGCCACGGCAGGTCTTTACTTGAAGGGTGCCCTTGTTCAGGTTGGTTTAAACATGCATCTGGTCCCCCAGTAGTGCCCTTTTAGCCAAATTTGGGGGAGGGTTCCCCTACAATAGACTACAGACAAAAGGGTGCCCTTATTCTAATCTCTCTACTGGGGGACCTAAAAGGGAAGCCAAAAGGAAAGCCAAAATCCATGTTTTCGGGGCGGCCCTTAATTGAAACTTAGAAACATAACCTCCCCCCCCCCCGTTTCTTTGAAACTTTGGCGGAGCTGAGGATCTGTGGTGACGTGGGGCCATGCAAGGAGAGGCGGCGACAGCAGCTACGTCCAAGAGAGGCTGAGATCTGTGCGCGCGAGACTTGGCTCGGACATTTAAATCATCCTTGCACTGTTTGGTTGAACCTTTTGTCTGGTCAACCCACGAACCAACAAACCGCGTTTTGTGGTGAAACTAATCGGCAAATTTCGTGTAAGCCTTGGTTGGTGGCTTGGAGCGGTGGTCTGGGGAATTGAACCCTCACTTCTTTCAGAGGGTCAATGGGAAACCACCAATCCACCAATCCACCAACGCACTAATCCACCAATCCAAGCCACCAATTAAGGGCAAGCTGACTCAAAAAGTAGTTTTTTTCTTTGTGTCGCAGTGAAAGCTTTTGTTTTTTCCTCACTAATCGGCAAAACAAAAGAGTTTTTTTTTTGCGCAGGGCGCCCTTCTTAGCCCAAAGGATCGAAGCCTCGGGGGGCGCCTTCGCGGCACTTCTGGACGACGGCTCTGTGGTGACCTGGGGTGAGGCCTCGGCAGGCGGCGACAGCCGACCAGTTCAGGAGCTTCCGGGTCCCGGCGACCACTCGTGGCCATGGGCGTGTACTCGTTTGCATGGTGCGATGGATAGAAGGTGGTTGAATGATCCCAAAAGTTTTCCAAGGAAGCCGATTCCAGTTGGATGGTTGATAAGGCTCATTCCATTTGTCATTCCCTGCTGAGCACCAGTCAAGTTTTTGACCGGACGGTGTCCTTTTGGTTTCCCTTTAGTAGGGGTTTTCCCCAAACAAGACACCCAGTGTTGTTGTTTTTAGATGATGTGCATTTTTCGGCGAAGGTTGAGTTCCATTTGATGGTGGTTGTTTCTCTCGATTTGCCAGTGAGGGTTGATAATATATATATATATATTTGTGTTGGCTATTTCTTTTTGTTTTCGGTGATGGTTTGATGTGTTTGTGTTGGTTGTTTGACTCTTCATTTTTCTGTGAGGATTGATTCCAGCTTGGTTGTTTTTCGGGCTCTCTTTATGTAGGGTTGATTTCAGCTTCGTTGTTCGTTTGTGTTCACTTTTGGTGTTGGTTGGTTCTCTTCATTTTTGCGGTGGGGGTTGCCACCCGACCCCCCAGCCACTCAAATGAGTTACCCGGCTCTGCAAGGCTATGTCAGTCTTGGTCCAAGATTATAGGAACTCAAGCAGTTTTCCCTGCAGCAGCAGCTGCCGCCTAGATATTTGTCCATAAGATTGCATTTTTGTGTATTGTTTATAAACATGCCTTTGACATACTGTGGATGGACGAAATCCATTTCGCACCACCTAAGAAACCCTGGAACGATAATTCCCCTCAAAATGCCAACAAACAATGGTTGCCATGGTTTCAAAGTGGTGCAGGATTTCGTCCCTCCACAGTATTCCATGAAGGCACCAATGGGAAATCCGCCAATGGTAAAGCGAGCGCAACTGCGTGACCCTCCTGCCCACCCCCCCTACGGAACTTGGGATTCATATAATGGTGCTGTTTGTTTGTCTTCCTTGCCAATCATGCTCAACATCGATTGCAGCTGTTCCATTTCCCATGAAGGACTACCCTCCCCCAGACTAACATGGAAGCTTCAACGAGGCCTTCTGGGAGCTTCCATGTTCGTTTGAGGGAGTGTAGGTACATGGAGCTTGGATGAGGCAGTCCCTTTCACGTCGCCTTTTGCTTACCAATTCTGACTGGATGTGTTCTCCTGGACGTACGGAGCCTGAGTTTCCTGCCCTTCGCTTCGACAAATTGTGGTTTGAAGGGATGAGACCCACGTCCCAAAAGTCATGCTGAAAACAGGTCCCTCAAAAATTAAGTTGCAACCACTTGGGACCCAGATGCATATGACTTCCGGTTGGGCCGGGCCTGGCCTCTCATTGCTTGGGACAGTGCATTAAATGGGTCCTTAGCTACAAACCTCAACCGCTTGAATTCAGGACCGGGACCAAACGTAATCAAACGTCAAAGTGCGTTCGGCCCGCTGTTGGGGCCCAGATTTTAGGGCAACCACTGGGGGAACCCCCCCTCCCCAATCGAAAGCCGCATTAAGGCCATCCCACTCGTAACCCAAGAAACTCTTGGGGCTTCAACCGACTTAGTAAGTTGTAGCCACGGTAAGGGGTCCCCTTTTTGTGGGGGTTCATCACTTTTGGAGGGAACGCGCCCCCTATTAATAGAACATGCCCGGGTCAATATGACTAAGTTGGTTTTCACATCCAAGTGCGATCATTCTCACTTTCAGCTTCCCTCTGTGGTGGCTTGGTGGTTTGGATAGGTGGTTTCTCTACCCACAACCAGAGGTTCACATCCCTAGTCCCCAATCCAAACCATGAATCAGGGCTACCTGATTTTTGTCGATGAGTGAAAAAGCACAGCTTTCGCCCGAAAACGCGGTTTGGTTGATCAGATGGATGCCAGCAGCTTTCCACATGTTGACTACCCCAAGATGGACCAAAACCCCGGCATTCTCCTTTTGAGGACCTTTGCTTTCAAGCCTACGGTGGACTCGTCAAAGCGTGGCACCTGGGAGGACCAGCTGCGTGAGGTGCTGCAAGTCCACGCCTCCGCAGGAGCCTTCGCGGCTTTGCGGGCGGATGGGGTGGTGGTCACCTGGGGCCACACCCACATGGGAGGCCGAAACGCGCGCGCTCGGCACGCGAACTTCAGCTTTCCGTTCGGTCAGGGGTTCGATTTGCCCTCGGGGCAAATGGAAGTCATAGGAGTCTTTTTTCGTTTTTCTGTGTTTGGAGTTTTGGTAACTTAGTTTTTGTTTGCTTGGCTTAAGGGAATCCAAAAGAGAAACCAAACTTCATGTTGAGGGGGGTTCGCAGAGAAAAGACACTCCCATGTCCCGTCGTTGACCTAGATTCAGCTACCAACCAAAGGGCGTTCTTTTCTCCATAAAAATCCAAAGGAAGCCATGGGGCCGGACGCCAGGAAAGCGGCTGAAAAGGAAACTTTGAGATGTAAGGCCCCATCTTGCCTGAAAGCGATTGTCAGGTTTGTAGGTGGCCCCAGCTAGATCTGGGTCCGCCCAATTTTCAAACTTGCTCTTTGGGGCGTTGAAATCCCCCAGACCATATTTGGAGAAATGGTAAATTCGATGTCACAATCGGAGGTTTATGCTCACCCCATCCTGTTTTGTTTGCCAACCCTCTTTGGATCGCGCGCGTGTCTTGGGAATGAGTCAGTTTTCTTGGGATCGTTTTGGTGGGAGTCATCCCATGCGTACTTCTTGGTCCGGAGAGCTGACATTCAAACAAGTCTGCACATGCGGCAGCCTCGAGGAGTCGATGTTGAAACAATTTGATGGTGGCTGTTGCCCAAGCGAGGCGACTGCAGCGCAGTCCGGGACCAGCTGCAGCCAGCCTAGTCTTGCTTCAGAAGCCGAAGCTCGAGGGATCGGAGGTGCAACTCTTCGGATGAGACGATCGACGTCGCCTTTGAGAGGCGACTCATGGCCGCGGATTGTTCTCACTGGAAGAGTTCCCCGCGTTCCGATGAAAGGCAACCAGAGCGACGACGGACAGGGCCCGCAGTTCACGCGAGAGCTTGCCCGAAGGCCTCAGCCGTCCCCTGAGGTCCACTGAGTCGGAGTGAAGCGAATTGCTGGCCGTCGGAAGAAGATGGCGGCGCCAGGCACTTGTTGTTATGTGCCTGTGCCAGTTTTTGTTCGGGTCCCGTTAGGTAGTGAGATTCATGAGCCATTTTCAGAGCTTGTCTCGGCAAGCCGTGGCTGTCCACATAAAATCGGGCTGAGCGGTGCCCAACTTTGGTGAGGGGCCTTGAGAGAGATATTGGTGGCAGTAACCGTCATCAGTCCACAGCTGTCCTCGAAGAGGCTTTGCTGGAAGTTTGTAACTGGGAGCTCCAGCCCTGCTGGAGCTGGTTCTCTAGGTTTTCCAGCTAGGTGCCCTTTCTCGCCTCTTCTTTGGAAAGGGGAGGGTTCCCCTACTAAAATAGACTACAGAAATAAGTTGGTACCCTTATTCTAATTGGAGGACCTAGTTTTCTTCGCATGCACATGCTGCTACACGTGCGCTGGTCAATGCATGCTCTGGTGAATATTTGTCCATTTTGTCGCAGGCCTCGAAGAGGCCTTGCTCCAGACAGACAAATAAGCAGGGATACCGGGGGCTGTGGACATATTTCTCGAGTAATGCTTAGACATGGTTTCCTTTAAAGGGAACGGTATCCCCGCTAATTTGTGTTCCCACTTGCTCGAGGTTTGCGTGCCGTGAGGGGTGCCCACAAAAGGGCACCTTGGAATGCCTCACATTTTCCAGCGTGGCAGGTCACCCTGTCACGAACTTGCCAGCTGGCATGGACCATGCCCTGGTGAAAGCCGGCGTTGGCGGCGTTCTGGGCGGCGGTTCCGTGCACCCTTTCTCCAGCGGACAACCGCCTACCTAGAGTCTCCACCCTTTGAAAATGGGGTCATGACGCTTTCTTTTGGGTAATGACCCCATTTTTTGAGGTTCATGGAGACTCTAGGTCGGGCTTTTTCAGCATGAGGGGGGTGGTTGCATACGTCGGTTTGGTCAGATCTGGCCATGTTCCTCGCCTCGCGCCTGGATCAAGTGCACTTTCAGCAGAACTCCCCGAGCCCCGGCATCCAGCTGCTCGGCCGAAAGCGCTACATTCAGAGTGGTCCCCAGGAATGTTGACCGTCGACCCCAGATGAAACCCCTGGATTGATCCTGGGGCACGCCATACGGATCGCTGGGGCCCAGAAGTATCTAGGAGATAGTGCCCTTTTACCGTTTTTTGTCTTTTTTTGCGGGAGGGTTCCCCTACTAAAATAGACAGACCAAAGTCGGTGCCCTGATTCTAGCATCGTCTAGCCTCTGTCCTGGACCTAGGCATGGAAGGTTCGCCTGGTTTGGCGAGGGGTAGCCTAACTTCCGGATCTCAGGATGCCCTACCTGAAGGATGACCGGGTGAATGCCCTCCTCCCAGCTGTGCAGAAGCTGCCGAAGGCCAGCGTTGAGCTTTCGATCGGCGCCTTCGGATCGGATCCGAAGTTCGGGGGGGGGGAAGCCGTTGAACAGGTGCGAAGAAGCCGGGGCCCGTTTTTTGTGTTTTTGTTTTTCCTCTGCAAAGAGCAAGAGTGTAGCATCCGAAAGGTGACCATTTAGATAGAACCGCGCAAGGGTCATCCAATAAATTTTGAGAGGTGGCTTGAGTATGATCAATATAGGGTCTATATTTGTGGCATATAGCCAGAAACTTGTTGGCAAATCGTGCAGGAAGTGGGGTACGCATGGATGACGCACAAAATTATCTCATTCACATCCCTGAACATTGCATTCTTGGGCGACAGTGCGATGCTTTTTTTGGTGGGGTGATGCAAGGGGGGATGTAGGGATGTTCCAATCAGCCCGTAGTTGCAGAATGTTTTTTTCCCCCAACAGCTGAAAGCTTTGGGGTCTCAGCCCAGATAGGCTCCGGGGTGGTCCGGGGCGGCCCGGAGGTAAGATTCCACGAGGGTTCCACCAGGGTTCCACCAGGGTTCCACATGCTGTTGGGGATATCACCTGAGCTTATTTGGTTGAGCGCTGTTGCCATGATGTCCCCTTCAACGGGGTCCCCGGAAGCGGCCAGAAGAATCACCTTTGCCGGCTGAGTATAGCCTTGAAGCGTTGGACTTCAGGCTGCCTTCTGGGACAAATGCCTGGGCTGCCAAAACGTTTATGATTCCTGCAAGCCAAGCTTGTCCCACAGAAGGCAACAGCACCGAGGAATCTGGGAATAGGGAGAAGCTTTCTGACATGGCGACATCTTTTTGGAAAACGTGAATGGATAATCACGCTGCTGGAATTGGTGCCTAGCCGCTCCGCAGGGTTTGTTTGACTACTTGTCATGTGATGCTGGCTGACAACAGGTTGGTTACCCGCGGCTGTTGACAGCCGGTAACTTTCGATACTTCGGATCTTTTCCTTGGATAAGCCCCTAAAGCATTTACGATGCTTTGGTCAAGATGCATCCCCCTCCCCTCCTGCTTGGATAAGGCCTTCGCAATTTGATTCCCACAGAAAGTCGCACCCGGCAGTTCCCCCCAAAACAGTACGACACTCGTGGGGGAGGGTTGACGCTGATGGTTGCAATAAATCTGCATAATTGATGACGAGCTCACTTCGGGGTAAAACGAGCTCACCATGGTAAATATCCTTTACTTGTGAATCCCTTATTTCAGGTTGGAGATAATACACAATATGCAGAACAAATGGTGTTTTGTTTTTTTTAGCATTTTTCTTTTTTACAAGCCCTTCTCACCAAGCTGAAGCTGGTGTCAAGAGCGGGTGCATTGAGCATGGCCTTCCTCAGCAAGACTCCAGATGCAAGGCTGGCTAAGGGCAAACTTCTTCGTCGTTAATGCATTTGCCATGCCATGCGCAGATGTTTATTTTTTTGCGGAGGAGCAAGTTAAAGCTTGGAGTGCTGTAAGGACTGGTTGGATGCCGGCAGACAGGTATGCATTGACATTTGCTGGGCTGCTTGGGCTGGCTTACGGTGGGTTGGCTGTTTTCCTGTTTGCCTGTTTGTTTGGCTATTTGGCAGCTTTTGAGGTATCCCTTAGTTTGTGGATTGGATAGGTGGTTTAAGATTTGAACCCCTGGCCTTGTAGCGGGTAAAGGGGAAACAGCCCCCCAACCACACTAATCCAAAGCAACCATCAGAGGGAAGCTGCACTTCCAGCCAAAAGCACCGTTCGCCAGGTGAGCAGTGCTTGGGAGGCTCAGACTTCTCACAGCCAGGGCGGAAAAAGGTAGTCGGATAACCCTAGAGCCCCATGTCCCCAAATTCTGACCTTGGAAGCGTATCAAACAAAATTGGGGCTCAGTCTCACGCGAACACTTCATGTATCAGAGCCTGACCTTTGTATCACCCCGGGAATTGCAAAACACAACAACGCCGTCATAGACCCCCTAGAGTTTCCACTTTGTGTTTGGTGCAAATTGCTGGGAAGCGGCGTGCAGTATCCACACGGAGCACATCCACCTTGGTCTCTCTGGCCAATCCTCCTGGTACAATGACAGAGCCTTTATTCAGCTTCCATCTTTGGTGGTTTGGCTTTGGGTTTGACATGGTCGTTGTTGGGAAACATTTTGCATTTTTACCTATGCGGCTTAGTGGGAAATCCCAACTTAACTGCTAAAATTTGCTTTTTTGCTCCCCTTCCAACGTTGAACCCCTGCTTTGGGTAGAGGGCAAAAGGGAAACCCCTCATTAACCACCAAACCACCCGACTCCAAACCACCAATTGGAGGGAAGCTGATTCATGGTCATTTGGGAAAGGATTTTTGGACTACTATTTGGTTGAAACAGCTCGGTTTTGTCCGGATTGGGCCCACGAAAAGTGAAAGTGTTTGTTTGCAGAGGGGTCAACAGCAACCAAGGAAGCTGCGATGCATGTCCAGTAAGGCCGGCCAAATCTTACCAATGATCGACATCCTTCAAGTCCCCCAATGCTCATCAATCAAGCTTCTTGCAAGTTACAAGGAGGCTTGGAAGCAAAATGCCCCATACCTTCCAGAGCCTATGGTCGAAGAGCATGCCGCGAGAAAGGTTGGATCCATTCACTGAATCAAGATTCTCAAATCCAGAAATCATCAAAAATCGAGGCACCTAGGCCGAATGTTCAGTTCGTGGGGCTCCTTCCGCCAGAATGGTGCCCTTTGTTCTTTAGGATGAAATTTCCCCAAATCAACTGCCCAAGGTGCCCTTGATTCCTTGGGTCAATGCTTGGTCGGAAACATCCTTGCCCACTAAAATGATGGTAAGATTTAGATTGGCTCATCTTTGAGGCTCGGTACCGGTCAGGCAGGAGCTTTGGGAATGAACCGTTTGGGGATTTTTTGAAAGGAAAGCACAAGGGATGTCTTTTTTGTGTTTTTTTGGGGTCATTCCATTTCTCATTGCTGAGCAGCCAGTTAAAGACACACCCAGATCCTGAAATTGAACTTAGGCTTCCACCCATTAAAGACACACCACAAGGAAACCACCATTTGGTGCTCCAACGGTCCTGGGGTTGAAGGTAGGCTTCCACCCTGATCGATCCAGGAGTTCGCCAAAGTCTGGGCGCGCTGTGGCCTGCCGCACCAGGCCCTCTCGCTGGCGCTGATCGGGCCGGTGGCTTGAGCCGATCAGATGGAAACGGAGAAGCTCGGGCTTCTCTATATACCCTCCTGTCCACGTTGCCATGGAACCCACCAGAGACATGGGAAACCCCTTTAAAAGGAAAATAGTCCAAACCAGGACCCTGAAAGTGGATAGGGAGCCCTATGTTAGTTTGCAGGGGCTACCCAAGGTAGTTCAACCCTGGGCTCCTTGAAGAGCTTGGTTAGCTTGGCCGCCAAAACGTAACCCTTTCCACCGTTTGTTTTTGGGGGGGTAGTATTCATGTAGTATTCAGGTGGAAAACCAACCCGGAATGTTCAAAATCAACCCGTGATCCTTAAGCCAGATGGTGGTGGATTCCCTTGTTGTACTTGTATTTTTGAACATGGGAAGTTCAACGGGTGCAAATTCGTTGCAGCCAGGCACAACCAGGCTTTGTTAGGCCATGCTTTTTGGCTGTTTCAGCAAGTTTTTGGGCGCTGCCATGTCTAATATAACAGCCCCCTTACTCGCTGTGTCTGAAAATTGTGTCTCAACATGGGCAAGCTCCAAAAATAGCTGGTTTTGTTTTGCTTTCCCTGTTCAACCAACCGAAGCCCCCCGATGATCCGTGTTCAGCGTTTGATTCCCCAAGCGCGTGTTTTTCCCCCAATGACCGGCTTTATCTTTTGGCGGCGAACATGGGACTCTCAAAAGCCACCTACCCCTGCTGGGCTTCCCTTTGAAACAAACCCGTAGGGTACTCTCAACCATGCGGATCAACCACACCAAACCGCGATCAAGAAACCAAACCCCAAGGGTACCCCCTACACCCCATATTCGCTTCTTTTCTGGGTATGTCAACCCTCTACTAAAAAGGAGGTGTTTACCCTGGAAAACCAAATCTTCCAAAAAAAATGCTCCAAGCAAAAACCAGCCTGGAAAGCTGGGTTTTCAATAAAAATCCCAAAAACAACAGCCAGGTTTTTTGGAGTCGGGGTGTCTCCGCTACGCCCAGGTCTTCATCGCCGGCCCCCCGGAGCCTTTGCTGGACACCGCGAGTCGGATCCGTGCACAGGATCCCAACCTTTTCCAGCTGGCCGGGGCCTCTTGGGGGGGGGGGGCAGGAAGGCGAATTCGGTAAAAGCGAGGGAAAACCAATGTGTCCATGTCCATTGAAATGACTTCTGGTTGTCAAAGGTATATTTCTCATATCTCTTGTTTGTTTTACATGTCCAGTTGGGGATGTATTTTTGTTTGATTTCTTGAATCTTGTCTAAATCAGATCCCCAGTTAGATGGGCCCTGGAGATGGACAAAGGGGATGTTCTTTTGTTCCTGCGCATGGTGCACTTCAGGTTGTGGAAGTGTAAAATCATTGCAGAACTGGGTTTGGCTCCTGAACACAAGCTTTGGTTTGCTCGCCTTTGTCCATGAGCGCATGGCTGGTCCCCCTTACCCTAGTGAACCAACCGCTGACCGCAACCGCCCGCCGAGCCACGCGCGGCGAAACCGCTCTCGCGCGACCGCGCGGTCTCGAGGTCTTCGCGGGGGAGGTGGGCCTGGAGCTGGAGAGCTTCGAGTCCCAGGCCTCGGCCGAGGAGCGCCTCGCGGCGCTGCGGAAGTCCGAGATCGACGAGGCGCGGGCGAAGCGAATGGGGCGGGCAGCGAAGCGGCGGGAAGGCCGGGGAGAAGCGGGTCGCTTGGGGTCCGGTTGGGAGGTGAGGCACTCAGTAGGTCGGGTACATTTCCCAGTAATTAACGTGGAACTTGACAGGGGGGGTGACCGTGTGACCTCAAAAGCGGCATGTTCAACGGACCCCACCAAACCTTGCAGTTGCTTAAGAAATGTTTGTTTTATGTTTTCCTGTTGGTTTTGAAGGGAATCGACTTAACTACTGGAAATGTGCTTTACTTTTTCTGGGGGGCTTCAAGCAAATGGAGGGTAGCTGGGTCGGGTAAGCCCTAGTTGGCAGGTTTGTATTGGTGGCTTAGGGATTTGGAGCCTGGGTGTGTGTGTGTAGAGTAAAAATTAGAAACCGTCCCTAACCACTAAAGCAATCCAAACCCACCAACTAGTGGGAAGCTGAACAACTTGGGTAGCTGGGGTTGGTCTCCTTACCGCCATGCTTATCATCTACTCAGTTGGTTGCACTCCAAACATCCCCAGTTCTGCTTGGTGTAACGGGAGCCTTAATGAAGATCTCCCTTTAAGCACAACCCCCCTCCCCGATCATTTTCAGATTCCAAAACCGGGTAAGATTCCAAAACTAGGCTTCCAAAACTAGGATTCAGAAACTGGTGTGACAGGCTTTGGTGTGAACGAAGCGCCAGTGTTGCCATTTCGGTGGTGTCCTTGGCGGGTGTAACCTTGGCTGCCGGCAAGAATCCCTTTTAGGGTTTCTTCTGGGGGACTCCTTTAGGGTTTCTTGTGGCGGGCATGACTCTTGCTGCCGGGCGGTTTCTTTTAGGGTTTCTTGTGGCGGGCGTGACTCTTGCTGCTGGCCGGTGCCTTTTAGGGATTGTTCTTGGCGGGCATAAGGTTGGTTTAGGGTTGGTTTGGGGTTGGTTTAGGGTTGGGTTGGCTTCGGGTTGGTTTAGGGTTGGCTGAAGTTTGGTTTAGGGTTTGTTTAGGGTTGGTTTACGGTTGGTTTATGGTTGGTTTAGGGTTGGTTTAGGGTTGGTTCAGGGTTGGTTTAGGGTGTTGGTTTAGGGTTGGTTTAGGGTTGGCTTAGGGTTGCCTTGGGGTTGGCTTAGGGCTGGTTCCGGGTTGGTTTAGGGTTGGTTTAGGGTTTGTTTTGGGTTTGTTGAGGGTTGGTTTAGGGTTGGTTTAGGTGATGCTGGGTGGTGCTCTGTGGAAAAGCGGAGTCTTTCTGGGGCTTCTGTAGTGCTCTGTGGTGCTCTGTGGTGCTCTGTGGTGTTCTGTGCAAAGGCGGAGTCTTTCTGGGGCCTCCGTAGTGCTCTGTAGTGCTCTGTGGTGCTCTGTGCAGAGGCGGAGTCTTTCTGGGGCTTCTCTAGTGCTCTGTGGAGCTCTGTGGTGCTTTGTGGGGCTCTGTGGTGTTCTGTGGTGCTTTGTGCAAAGGCAGAGTCTTTCTGGGGCCTGGTTTATGGTTGGTTTAGGGTTAGTTTAGGGTTGGTTCAAGGTTGGTTTAGGGTTGGTTAGGGTTGGCTTAGGGTTGGCTTAGGGTTGGCTTAGGGATGGTTTTGGGTTGGTTCAGGGTTGGTTTAGGTGATGCTCTGTCAGTGGTGCTCTGTGCAAAGGCGGAGTCTTTCTGGGGCTTCTGTAGGGCTCTGTGGCGCTCTGTGGTGCTTTGTGCAAAGGCGGAGTCTTTCTGAGGCCTCTGCAGTGCTCTGTAGTGCTCTGTGGTGCTCTGTGCAGAGGCGGAGTCTTTTTGGGGCTTGTGTAGTGCTCTGTGGTGCTCTGTGGTGCTTTGTGGTGCTCTGTGGTGTTCTGTGGTGCTTTGTGCAAAGGCAGAGTCTTTCTGGGGCCTGGTTTATGGTTGGTTTTGGTTTAGGGTTGATTCAGGGTTGGCTTAGGTTTGTTTAGGGTTGGTTTAGGGTTGGTTTACGCTTGGTTTAGGGTTGGTTTAGGGTTGGCTTAGGGTTGGTTCAGGGTTGGTTTAGGGTGTTGGTTTAGGGTTGGTTTATGGTTGGCTTAGGGTTGCCTTAGGGTTGGCTTAGTGTTGGTGTCGGGTTGGTTTAGGGTTGGTTCAGGGTTGGTTTGGGTGTTTGCTTAGGGTTGGTTTAGGGTTAGTTTAGGGTTGGTTCAAGGTTGGTTTAGGGTTGGTTAGGGTTGGCTTAGGGTTGGCTTAGGGATGGTTTTGGGTTGGTTCAGGGTTGGTTTAGGTGATGCTCTGTCAGTGGTGCTCTGTGCAAAGGCGGAGTCTTTCTGGGGCTTCTGTAGGGCTCTGTGGCGCTCTGTGGTGCTTTGTGCAAAGGCGGAGTCTTTCTGAGGCCTCTGCAGTGCTCTGTAGTGCTCTGTGGTGCTCTGTGCAGAGGCGGAGTCTTTCTGGGGCTTCTGTAGTGCTCTGTGGTGCTCTGTGGTGCTTTGTGGTGCTCTGTGGTGTTCTGTGGTGCTTTGTGCAAAGGCAGAGTCTTTCTGGGGCCTGGTTTATGGTTGGTTTTGGTTTAGGGTTGATTCAGGGTTGGCTTAGGTTTGTTTAGGGTTGGTTTAGGGTTGGTTTACGCTTGGTTTAGGGTTGGTTTAGGGTTGGCTTAGGGTTGGTTCAGGGTTGGTTTAGGGTGTTGGTTTAGGGTTGGTTTATGGTTGGCTTAGGGTTGCCTTAGGGTTGGCTTAGTGTTGGTGTCGGGTTGGTTTAGGGTTGGTTCAGGGTTGGTTTGGGTGTTTGTTTAGGGTTGGTTTAGGTGATGCTCTGTGGTGCTTTGTGCAAAGGCGGGGTCTTTCTGAGGCTTCTGTAGTGCTCTGTCGTGCTCTGTGGTGCTCTGTGGTGTTCTGTGGTGCTCTGTGGTGTTCTGTGCAAAGGCGGAGTCTTTCTGGGGCCTCCGTAGTGCTCTGTAGTGCTCTGTGGTGTTCTGTGCAAAGGCGGAGTCTTTCTGGGGCCTCCGTAGTGCTCTGTAGTGCTCTGTGGTGCTCTGTGCAGAGGCGGAGTCTTTCTGGGGCTTCTCTAGTGCTCTGTGGAGCTCTGTGGTGCTTTGTGGGGCTCTGTGGTGTTCTGTGGTGCTTTGTGCAAAGGCAGAGTCTTTCTGGGGCCTGGTTTATGGTTGGTTTAGGGTTGGTTTAGGGTTAGTTTAGGGTTGGTTCAAGGTTGGTTTAGGGTTGGTTAGGGTTGGTTCAAGGTTGGTGTCGGGTTGGTTCAGGGTTGGTTTAGGGTAGTGCTCTGTGGTGCTCTGTGCAGAGGCGGGGTCTTTCTGGGGCTTCTGTTGGTTTAGGGTTGGCGTAGGGTTGGCTTGCGGATGGTTTCGGGTTGGTTTAGGGTTAGTTTAGGTGATGCTCTGTGGTGCTCTGTGCAAAGGTGGAGTCTTTCTGGGACTTCTGTAGGGCTCTGTGGTGCTCTGTGGTGTTTTGTGCAAAGGCGGAGTCTTTCTGGGGCCTCTGAATCTTTCTGGGGCTTCTGTAGTGCTTTGTGGTGCTCTGTGGTGCTTTGTGGTGCTCTGCGGTGTTCTGTGGTGCTTTGTGCAAAGGCAGAGTCTTTCTGCGGCCTGGTTTATGGTTGGTTTAGGGTTGGTTTAGGATTGGGCCAAGGTTGGTTTAGGATTGGTTTAGGGTTGGTTTACGGTTGGTTTAGGGTTGGTTCAAGGTTGGTTTAGGGTTTGTTTAGGGTTGGTTTAGGGTTGGTTTAGAGTTGGTTTAGGGTTGGCTTAGGGTTGGCTTAGGGTTGGCTTAGGGATGGTTTTGGGTTGGTTCAGGGTTGGTTTAGGTGATGCTCCGTGGTGCTCTGTGCAAAGGCGGAGTCTTTCTGGGGCTTCTGTACGGCTCTGTGGTGCTCTGTGGTTCTGAGCAAAGTCTTTCTGGGGCCTCTGTAGCGCTCTGAAGTGCTCTGTGCTGCTCTGTGCAGAGGCGGAGTCTTTCTGGGGCTTCTGTAGTGCTCTGTGGTGCTTTGTGGTGCTCTGTGGTACTCTGTGGTGTTCTGTGCAAAGGCGGAGTCTTTCTGGGGCTTCTGTGGTGCTCTGTGGTGCTCTGTGGTGCTCTGTGGTGCTCTGTGGTGTTCTGTGCAGAGGCGGAGTCTTTCTGGGGCTTCTGTAGTGCTCTGTGGTGCTTTGTGGTGCTCTGTGGTGTTGTGTGGTGCTTTGTGCAAAGGTAGAGTCTTTCTGGGGCCTCTGTAATGCTCTGTGATGCACTGTGGGGGTTTGTGCGGAGTCTTTCTGGAGCCTCTGTAGTGCTCTGTGGTGCTCTGTGGTCCGCGCTGCTGGCCGGTTCTTTTTAGTGTTTCTTGTGGTGGGCATGATTGTTGCTGCGGGCCGTTTCCGTTTAGGTCTTCTTCTGGCGGGCGTGACTCTTCCTGCGGGCAAGGTTCCCTTTAGGGTTTCTTGTGGCAGGGGCGGAGTCTTTCTGGGGCTTCTGTAGTGCTCTGTGGTGCTCTGTGGTGCTTTGTGGTGCTTTGTGCAAAGGCAGAGTTGTTCTGGGGCCTCTGTAGTGCTCTGTGGTGCTCTGTGGGGGGTTTGTGCAAAGGCGGAGTCTTTCTGGAGCCTCTGTAGTGCTCTGTGGTGCTCTGTGGTCCGTGCTGCTGGCCGGTTCCTTTTCTTGTTTCTTGTGGGGGGCACGACTCTTGCTGCTGGCCGGTTCCTTTCAGGGTTGGTTCTGGTGAGCATGGTCCACAGAGCACTAAAGAGGCCAGACACAGGAGCACCAGACATCACCGTGGAAGCCTTTGGTGTCGAAGAGGATGTTAAACTAGGTTTTGGAATATTATGGCGCCTGGTTTTTGAATATTTTTGCGACCTCCCCATTATGACGCCTGGTTTTGGAATAGTTTTGCGACCCCCCTCCCCCCAACCGACCCGTTTCCCGGTCTCTACCCCCCTGTCAAGTTCTTAATTGGCATGTTTACCCCACCTAAGTTAATCACATCCAAACGGACCCCAACCAGACTGATCAGCAAACCCCCCCCCGCCCCCCAACCAGACCAACCCGTTGGAGCCGCCCGGGTCGAGAAAAAGAACATCCCACCGTCAGCGCGCCCGCGCCACGCCAAGCTCAGGAGGGGGGCATCATCTTCAAGGCCGGGGCGCCGGTGGCGGAGAGGTTGAAGCTCAAGTACCTCGAGAAGGCCCGCCGGTTTTGATCGGCATCGATTCGGAAGCCCAGAAGACCTCTAGAGTTCCTAACATTTCCTTGCCCTCGAAGTTTGAATCAAGCGGGTTTGAAATTCAGGGGACACCCCCCCTATGAATCCACAAGGGGCGTATTGATCAAGGCGTTAACTTGGGGAGAACCACGAGGATGGACGGATGGGCAAACCACGCCCAACTTAAGAGTTTCTGTGACTCCTTTTTTCGGAGCTGTCTTTTGAGGGTACCCTTGTTTAGATGGGTTGGAGGGGAAACCAACGCTGCTTCCATAATTTGCAGCCATGTCCGTGGGATGCTGAGACATGACCTTGTTTGGCCACCGTTTCAGCAAGGGGGACAGCAGCCACGCGAGGAAATCAATCAAGTGCAGTTGTTTGCATATATGTGTTGGAGGCGGCATTACAAGCTATTAGCAGTATGGCATTTGTATTTGCTCTTCTTCATTTGTTCAGTTGTTACGGGCGGCGGGCAAGCAAACATGGCCATGTCTTCATGCCGTTTCTAGCGAGTTGGAGCGGAGCCGGGCTCGGAGCTCGGGGGATCTTTATTAACCAGGCTCCCGCCTGCTGCCGCCGACCCTCGGCGCATCAAGGGAAAAGTCACAAGGACCGGTCCTGAAACACGTCCGCAAACCCAGGGACCACTTATAAGATTTTCTACGACCACAAACAAGGATTAACGGAAAAGTCAGAAATATGGCAGCTAGTCCGTTAATTGCCGCTTGGGCCGGCTTGCGCCCAAGTCACTTCGAGTTGGCCCGGGAGCAGTCGCCTGTCCCGGGTCGCCCTGAAACTGGCCTCTCCCGAAACTGCCCCGGCGAAAGTGGCCCTAGTGGCCCTGGACCGGTCGCCGGCAGGGACCGGGACTTGGGACCCTGTCCAGGCCGGTTTGAGTCTGGGGGGTTTGACTTGACGTATTGGACTCTCTTGCAGATTAGATCCAGGATCCTCTACTACCACAAGGATTAGCGGAAAAGTCAGACAGACGGCAGCTCGTCCGTCAATGGGGCTCGCGCCCAAGTCACGTTGAGCTGGTCCTAGAAACAAGGCCGTCGGTGCCGCTCAACCGGTCGCAGGGAGGGACTGGGACGGGACCCTGCCCAGTCCTGAAACACGGGTGCCAGTCCGGAAACAGCGACACTGGAGGAAACAGGTGTCTGGAGCTGTTTGAGGTGGCACCGGGTTTCTGCAGCGGTTTGAAGTGGGATCCGATACCAGCGGTCACACAAGGACTCGATCCTGGGACCGGCTTGGACCGGTCCCAGGACCGGCCAGGACTGGTCCCCGGACCGGTTTTGGCTGACTGCAAGTAATCCGAAGCGGCCCCCAGTCCGAGGACCGGTCCCAGAACTGGTCCCAGGACTGGTCCCAGGACCGGTGCTGGGACCGGTCCCGGGACCGGTCCTGGGAATCCACTTTTTGTGCTTTTGGGCGTGCCCCCCAGGGACCATCATTGATTCCAATCACTTCCAGTTGCATCCCACGCCGGCCCCCTCTGCAGGAGGCTGGGACGGGAGGCAGAGGGTCGGCGGATTTTTTGCCTTTAATGAGGCACCCGGACTCAGAGCCGATCGGAGTTCCTGTTGGGGACATTGTAGCAAATTGAAACCATTGGTAGTACCGGCTGGTGCTTGGAGCTGGGGGTATCCAAACTTGCTTCTTTATTCTTGGGGCAGGAAAACAATACCTTGCAACTCTGGCGCCGTGTCTTTATTTCTTTGCATTTTCCACTCGGTCGCGTCACTCGAGCCTGTCGGATTTTTGTCCGTCGTTTCCCCGAAACCCGAAGCCGGAGCCGGAGCCGGCGCCGCGGCAGGAGGACTTCCTGGGCTTCCTAACGGACGCCACCAAGGAGCCGGTTGCCCAGATTTGGGGAAGGGCTCCCCCACTTGCCCAGTGGACTCCGCCCACTTTTCTTTTTGTTTTTCCGACTTGTTTTTGGGAAGGGTTCCGATTTCTTGAAACTCAGGTGGTGCCCGTTTTTTTTCTTCTTTTTGTTCTTCTTTTTTTCTTTCTCGTTTTGTTCTTTTTGTTTTTTTTTTTTTTTTTTTTTTTTTTTTTTTTTTTTTTTTTTTTTTTTTTTTTTCGACTTTTGTTGGGGAAGGGTTCCTTTTCCTTTTAAAGTCTTAGCCCACCAAAAAAAGAAGAAGAGGATGCCGATCCTTTCTTTTTGTTCCCATGGGAAATCCGCTCATCTGAGAAGGAGCCGGAGAAGGCGGAGATCTCCGAGGCTCAGGAGCTCCAGGCGGGCTCGTCGTCTCGAGTCCCAGCGCGCCGCGCGTGGAGTGCCTGGATGCCCAGAGGCCCAAGGTCTCCAAGAGCCGGAAGGCCCCAATTGAGCCACTGGCTCAAAACCCGGGGATTGACGCAGGTTAAGGGGCAGTCCCCTTGTCAGAAATGGCTGCGGATATCTCCGCCTTCAAACAATTCTTGAAGCATGGCTCTGGGATTACGACCATTTTAATACCGGGTCTTGAGCGGCGACCAAAAAGCTTGGTTGCGTTGGCCAATCCGCTCGATCGAAAACGAAGTGTAACATGACCAGCAAGCTGCAACCTCGCACGCAGCAGATCCAAGCGCCGTCCTCGCCTTACTGGCACAGCCATCCGTTTCCTTAGGTTCTTAGCTTTTTACTCGGTTGGTGCTTGGGAACTATGTTTTACATTTTTGCTTATTGTGATTTAGTGCTTGGCATTGCTCCCCTTTTAACGTTAGTCAAGTTTAGTGGTTGGTGTTTGGATCTTCATTTACTTCTCCCATGGAAGTGCACAATCCCCCCTTTCCAAGGAGGAAAGTCGTCTTACAGGGGTCTGTGCACTTGAATGGGAAGCCCCATCCGGTTCCTTAGGTTCTTAGTTACAGTCTTAGTTTTTTCGGTGTCTAGTGCTTGGATTTCCGCATTTCAACCACCAGTTCTTCACTTTTCACGGATCAGATGAAACGGACAGGCCAGTCACTCGCAGGCCATCTCCCAAGCTGCGCTGGAGCGTTTGGAGGAACTGACGCCCCTCGCCCCCGAGATCGCGAAGGTCAAGGCATGGCGAATCACCTCTTCGCTTCTGGGAGCAATGTGGCTGGGGCTCAAAAAACCGGTACCCAAAATGAAACCCTGGTAAGTGGAAACATGGACCAAAACCTGCGCTTTGCCCCTCCTGTTTAATTTTGAGCCACACCCATGTTGACCCAGGATTTTTTAGCCCGTCCCATTCTTAGGGGGGGGGGTGTTCCCTCCAAAAGTGGTCTGAATCCCCACTAGAAGGGGACACCCCCCCTATCAACCAGGGGTTTATTAATCCGGGGTTAGCATTGCCCAATTTTGGTTGGTTTTTCAGGGGTTCCACAAGGAAAAGGAGACCTATTTTGTGGGTTCTCCAGTTTTCAGACACCCCAGAAAGGCCGCTTTTTGGACCTCAGCCCCTGTTTTTAGGGGCCCTCAAGTTGGCAAGATGGTGTCCCCTCGCCCCACCCGATGCCCAAATGCCCAGCGACCGTGAGCAGCTCTAGCCAACCAAGTTCCAGATTCAGACCGTGGACTATATACAATTCTATACATGTATTTGTATGTCTATACATATAGACTTGTATACACACATATTTACTTATGTATATATATATATGTATGCATGACTAGCTTCATGTCAGTGGACAGCCAGCCGCGCTACACGCATATGAGTTGCAGACAAAAATACCAGTTTGGGCACCGCCCATTGGTGTCTGCGGCATGTGCGTGCAGCTCTTGGCTGCATTTTGAACCAGAAACCAAGAACAAGCTACTCACTCCCGAAGTGATTGTGTGTTTTTTAGGAGGACCCCAAATTGTTGTGTTTTTCCTTGTGGTTTCCGTTTGAATTGTCAAACAAGGGGGTACCGAGCCTCAAAACAAGACGAGCAACCCATATACGTGTGTCTCTATCGGCGAGCCCCCTTTTTGGTTGGCGTTAAGGAAGTAAAAAAGGGACACCAAGCATTGTTCAGGTACCCCTGAACCCACCAATTTGGATTGGTGGTTTGGGGATTCGAATCCCTGGTTCTTGTGGCAGATGGGAAGCCCCTCCTTAGCCACCAAACCACCAAACCAGACCACCAATTGCAGGGAAGCCAAATTGTAGGGGCCCCTTTTATCTTTGGTGCATTTTGCTTGGATGTTAGGACTTTAATTAACTTTTTGCCAACTAATGGGCTTTCCATTAAACCACTAAAAGTTAAACTTTTAGCAGGGGAGCAGAAAGCAACCGAGTTAAGACGGTTTCAGGCGGAGTACGAAGCGCAGGGCAGCTCTGAGCCGAGCATCGCCTATGGAAGGCCCAGCCAGGCACTGCAGGCGTGGAGTTTGGCGCTCCGCTAAAAAAAAGGCGACTTGAGCCACTTGCTCAAAAACCAGGGATTGACGAAGGTTAGTAAGGGACAATCCCCTTGCCATAAATAGTTGCGGATATCCGCCTTCTTAATTCTTGAAGCATGGTTCTGGGTGGACCATTTCATACCGGGTTTTGATTGTGACCCACTTGGGGTCGATCGGCCCAGAAGGCTCGAATAGAGGTGGTTTGAACTTCAGAAAAGTTCCGGAAATGCCGTTCCAGGAATTTAGGTGGTTTGCAGCTTTCAGGGAGGTTCTCGAGAGTCGGTCCATGTGGTTCTGGGCCTGTTGGAACCGGATTCCCGAAAGCAAATCCTTGATCCTTACCTGGGGTACGCAAGGAACCGGTCCCCTTTGCAGTGGCTTTCCCTTTTGGGGATTATGGAAAATCCTCCCAACCCATTTTCAACAGTCACAGGATCCTGAATGACAAAAACACATTCTACAATAGAGGGGACTATTAATAGAGGAGGTCTAACATTATGGAGAGCCGGATTGGGCCCATTTTCAACAGCCCAGATTTTGCTTCTTGGAGGCCCATGGCCATGGTCTGAAGGCCTGAAGGAGCTGATCAAAGATCACCTCTGCACCCCCACTTGGAACAGAAGTCGCACCGCCAGGAAGTCGCCCAGCTCTTCCCGCACTTAGTGACCTTAGGCGGCTGCGTGCCGCCCGCATGAGATGTAGGACGTGCCGGAGAAAGCAGCGCCCAGATGTGCCGCGAAAATGCTCCACTTGGTTTGTATGTGGGTGGCCTTTTTTTGTTTTTCTTCGTTTTTGCCACGGTGTCCGTTGGTGTCATGGTGATTCCTCCAAGTTGGGAACTTTTGGCATGGCCTGTGGCTTTGTTGTTGGTTGAGTCTTCTGAAGCAGGGCTGCGGCTCTGCCGAAATGCGCTGTCCACGGCAAGCTGAACGGCTTGCACCTTAGATGGCACGAGATCTAGGCCCCCCAGCAAGGTGCCCGCTCTTTCACCCCTTTTTTGGGCAAGGGAGGGCAAGCCCCTACTAAAATAGACTACAGAGAAAAAGGGTACCCTTACTCTAACCTCTCTACTGGAGGACCTGGAGATGTTCAATTCCTGCCCATTAGGGCCTGACATGGCCACTGGCAACGAGTGGGTGTAACTAACGAAGGATAGCAAGCTAGCAAATGTAATGAGGGACTGCTCCTTCTACTTGGTTTTGGGGACATGAAAGCGACTCGGGCAGACAGGAGAGGCATCTCGGTCAAAGGCATTGCTTTAGAGTCAGCTGCGCGCATGCTAGAGAAAGTGAACTTCGGCCGCGGGGTTGTGAGAGCCTGGAGCAACAAGTTTTGGGATGGCTTGGTGCATGGCTTAGAGCAAGCAGCTCTCATTGAGTCGTCCAACTCAGGTTGAAGTCAGGATGCAGCCCGCAACCCTTTCAAAGATGTGAAGCACCTGCTGGAAATCGATTTCAATCAACCAGTAGCACAACAGGTCGCCTGGGAGTTGACGGTTTTGCCGGCTGGGCCGTGGGTGATTTTTGTGGAGGGCTCAGTCGGCCTCTCGGGACCCGTGACAGGAGTTGGAGGTAGGCGACTCGTGAGTCAGGTGCGGCAAGTGGCCCTGTCTGCCGACTGTGACATTTGGAGGAGCTTTCCCCATGGTTGTTGTTGGGAAACATTTTGATCATTTTTGCTTATTGTGGTTTAGTGGTTGAAATCCAACCACTTAACTGCTAAAACTTTTTTTTTGCTCCCCTTCCAACGTCAAGCAAGTCCCTGTTGCCAGGTCTAGCCCAAGTGAATCAAGACGCCAAGGTCTCCAGGTCCCTCGCTGGCTGCTTTTTCATCACTGGGCGATCTTTGAAAGCAAATCCATCAGGAAGCAGTCGAGCACCAAAGGTTTCCCAAGCCAAAGCTTATGAGCTCACATGCCACTCGATAACCCAAAACCCCACCGCTTCCAAAAGAGTTGCAAGACAATTGTAACCACCAAGCCCTGGTCCAATTTTCTGGTGGTTTCGATTCCAACACATGTTTTTTATTTTTTATTTTTATCAGGGAGCCGTTGAATCCCGCCGGTTGCAAGTGGCGCTGGCAGAGCGCATGCGGAAGCGCGCGCTGAACGCTGGCTTATGGAGGCAAAGCGCTGCACTTCTGCCGCGGAGGTTCAGGAAGCGGTTTTTTGGCCATGTTTGTTGGGTCCCCCAGTTTTGACACATACCCATCTATGCTCTTGCCGAGGATGGGTGTGGATGGTTCCCCCATACTTTTCAGAACATTCTGCATGGCCCACAACCATCCCTACCCTCAAGTTTCTTGGATGCATTGAGGCACCATACCTGTGTTCAAGGGTCCAACCAGTTTTGCCAGTGGACAGATCGTGATTCTAAAAACCAACTTACATACCCCAAATGGACATACCCCCACCTATAGGCTTTGTATATGGATATGTTGGTAGTATGTATCCTGTCTTACCCATGTATAACCCTGCGTGGCTTTAACGCTCACGGGTGCAACCAATCCCTGTACAAAGGTACAAGGGCAAATCACACATGGTTCAGGTTGGGGTTGGTTTCCTTCCTCTACAAGATTTAGGGGTTCAAATCTTCAAGTCCGTTCAATCCACCAGGTAGGGGTTGCCTGACGTAACACTTCCCTTCTCTAAGCTAATCCCTGGTGAAGCTTTCAGATCCCCTCATTCAATCGCAGGGCTTCACTTCGGCAAATGTAGCATCATACCGAAATGCGTTCGCACCACTTGGAAAGAATGGGAACCATTGTTCGCTGGTATCTTTAGGGGAAACCGATTCATTCCAGGGCTTCTTAGGCAACACACAATATCGATCTGCCACCTGGTCCATGGTTCTTGGCCAGAATATGCGTTGCACGATCTGAAAATGGTCGGTTAGTTTGTCTCTGATGCCCGGATCTGAGAGGGTCAACTGGTTGGATCTGCAAGGTTCACGATATGTTCAACCTAAAGTCATTACCTGGAAAGTTGGTTTGCGACAGTGAGCAGGCCACAAACCCAGAGTTACAGTTTGAAAGCCTGAAGGCAACAACAACTGTTTCGTGCGTGGCTGCGGGTATGCTGAGCCTTGTGTCCCACTTTTATGATACCAGGACACCTGGCATTTGAGAAGCCAGGAGTTCCAGTAATATCAACAGAAGTCGGCAAGGCCCACAAGCTACCTTTGAATACGGTGCTTTTTTTGTATGCAATTCCCATGGCTGCCTCTGGGCGAATTGAAATCAAACAAAGCCAGGGCCGTGGGTGCCCCAAGTTTTGCAACTGAGTTGTATTCCAGTTAACTTGCTGGTGCTCAGTAGGGAATGACCCAGGGATTTGGGAATGAACCCAGGGATTCATTCCCTTAAAGGAAGCTGTAGGGAATGGTTTATAGGGATCATTCGCTCATTCCCTGCTGAGAACCAGCAGGTTAAGCCTCATGGTCGGTCCCTAACCAAATCTCATTTACCCAAAGTCAGAGTCAATGTAAGATATCAAGGCTACAACAGGTGATCACCGTTTATTTCCAGGTCCTTTGGGCAAGTGAGATTTGCAAGTAAGCTGGAGGTAAGCCACTGATAAAACGTATCAACCAACCTAACCGGGAGTAGGCAACCAAGGGAATCAGGAAACCTTCATTTGGACCACCATGAACTATCCGGGTTGATGAAGTTTAGTAAAGGACAGTCCCGACCATAAATGAGCGCAGCCGCCTTTCTAATTCCTTACATTGTTTTGGGTAGACCGTTTTAGTGCCAGGTTTTGATCATGACTCACTTGCCCCAGGCGAATCGACCAGATGTGACCGTTCAGTTCTAGTCATGGCCCCATTGTTGGTACACTAAATTAATGTGGCTGTGGGTCAAAACCAACTGGTACTATCTTGGGCGTGGGGATTGGGATGTTCACTGGGGGCTAACCGCCCATGGCCATGTGGGGTGGCCTAACGATGAACATTCCTGGGGTTTACCCAGTTCAAACCTAGTCCGTTTGATCTTTCCTTACATTCTTTTGGGCAGACCATGTTCATACTCCAGGGGTGCCTTTCCCATTCTTTCCAGGGATCCTTTCCAGAATCCCTGCGCAATCCCAGGGAGAACGGATCCCCGGTTTTTTGGGAAAGGACGATGGTTGAAGGCTGTGGAAGCAGCCCAAAGACTGTGGCAGGTGCAGACCGAAGACTGTACCAAAGCCACAGCCCCCCCAGGGTTCCCCTACTAAAATAGGCAAACATATTTTTTTTTAAAAAAAAAAGGTACCCTTATTCAAAAACCTCTGAAGTCTGGAGGACCTAGTTGGCTTAGTGGTCGTTTCCGAATTCAACCCCTACCGATCCTTGTGGCGCACATTGCTCGCAGGTGCCTTCAGGACACCTCGCCCTCAAAGCCGACACCGACTCATTGGCAGCGCTGTCGGAGCTGGCGGGGCTGAGGTCGCTGGAAGTGGACGGGCTGGCGGCCGGACAGGTGGGGAGAAGTCCAAAACGGGGGGGGGGGGGGGGGGCAGGGGGGGATAGGTGTCCTTTCTGTTCAGTTTCTAGGTCCCCCAGCAATTGGTGCCCGACCTCTCACCCCATTTTTGGTTGGGAGGGCAAGCCCCTACGAAAATAGACTACAGGAAAAAGTTGGTACCCTTATTCTAACCTCTCTACTGGAGGACCTAAGTTTAGTTGAGAAATGAAAGGCCCTGGCAAGAGCTATTGGTTCAACAATATACCAGGGCCATCTATTTTCCGAAATGGAGACCTATGGGGGGGGGTTCTTCTCAAAAGGAAGGCCCACAGAGACTCCATAGCTTTCAGCTGTTGAGAAAAAAATGTGGGCATCCCCTTCCAGCCATAAATGGATGAATATTTGATGTAGGGAGAGTAGGTTGGGAATGCTGCACCTTAGGCTTAAAAGCAAGCAGAGGTTTCTCGTGAGTGTTCTCTCCAAGTCTCACGCTCCTTGTGCATGCCCGCGGGGAATGTCCGCTCCGGTGCATTCTACTGCCGGAGGTGGAGCAATTGGCCTTAGCCCTGGGCGGTGGAACGACGCACCATCAGCCGGCTGCTGACAGTGAGGAACTGGAGGTGGATCTGCTTCTTGTCCTTATGGTGCACACGTTTCGTCCACTTCCAGAAGTTGCCATTGCAGGTGGCGAAGAAGTGTTTCCTGATCCATGTCTCATGTTGCGTTTGCCAGGAGTTGTTGATTCGGCTTGTTCGAGTGATAGGCCCCACAAACGTACTGTACATAGATGCATAAATTGCATACAAAGGAAGTGTGTATATATATATATGCATCATGTCATATGAGCGTGCCTGTTTTTAGAGGGACCGCCAAGATTGTGGGCTTTCTTTTGCTTTTACTTTAAAACCACGAAACCGGGGTACCCTCATATATATATATATGTATATATATATAAATAAATAATTCGTGATACTTTACTTTGGTTCCAGCGTGAGGTATTGGTTTTTGTGCGTGCCGCGCGCAAATGGTGGTAGTAGCTCATGTGCGTCAGGATCAAGATGTGTTCTCAAGGCGTTATGCTCGCACGGCTGCACCAGAAGCGCTATGCTCAAGCGGCCTAAGCAAAAAAAAACACCACAGGCCTGTGCGCTGAACATGGCCAGACTTAGCACACGGAGAGATGCAACCGCAAATGTTGCCCTTGGGTCCATGGCGCACCCTTTCTGGACTGCTATTGGGTTGGATCTTTAAACTTGAACTTTTTGGGAAATCAAGGGGTTTTCCACTAAACCCCCAAAGAGTTAAACTTTTTGCAGGGGGGTGAACGGCAATCAAGCTTTTGCAATGGAACGCCTGCAGCCGGAGTCCACTTTCAGCACTGGCCCAGTGACATCCAGCAACCGACTTGGCCTCGTCAAGTGATCTGAAATTCCAACTGCGGATTCCCTCAGTTTTTGTACTTTAGCCACTTGTCCCTACCGCTATTGGGCAACGGATCTTTAGACTTCAACTTTTTGGATTCCCTTCATAGTTCCTTTAAAGCAGCAAAAAGTTAAACTGTTTGCTGGGGGATCTACAGCCTCCAAGTTGTTGCGAAGACCAGGATAGTGGTAAATGCAAAAGTTTACTTGTTTTGACCAATCCACTCGATCGGAAGTGAGTCCAAAGGTTTTGACTCTGCTCCTTGGAACCTGTGCTAGCCTTCGAAACGGCACATATCAGTTGGTGGTGTGGTCACAGTGGCCATCTTCATGTGTCCGTGCAAGGCATCTACCCAAAAAAATGTGTTTCCTTTTCTTCGAGGCATTTCATTGTGATATGCCACGTTGAAATATTTTTTTTTTTTAAGCTGCCTACACCCAACTCCACAGTGGTTCTCATTCTGGTGTCACCTTCCTACGGCTCACCTACCCCAAGGTTCGAAGACACGCCGCCGGCCATCGGAGTCCGGACGTGCGAGCCCGAGCCGCCAGCGTCCGCGGAACCCGCTGGTGCCGCTCGCTGCGAAGCGGATTGATGTAGTACCTGGGAAACGGCCAGGTGGGTTTGTTTGGGTTTGTTTGGTTTGTTTGGGTTTGTTGAATTTGTTGGGTTTGTTGGGTTTGTTGGGTTTGTTGGGTTTGTTGGGTTTGTTTGGGTTTGTTTGGTTTTGTTGGGTTTGTTGGGTTTGTTTGGGTTTGTTTGGTTTGTTTGGTTTGTTTGGGTTTGTTGGGTTTGTTTGGGTTTGTTGGGTTTGTTGGGTTTGTTTGGGTTTGTTGGGTTTGTTGGGTTTGTTGGGTTTGTTTGGGTTTGTTGGGTTTGTTGGGTTTGTTGGGTTTGTTTGGGTTTGTTTGGTTTGTTGGGTTTGTTTGGGTTTGTTGGGTTTGTTGGGTTTGTTGGGTTTGTTGGGTTTGTTTTGGTTTGTTTGGTTTGTTTGGTTTGTTTGGGTTTGTTGGGTTTGTTGGGTTTGTTGGGTTTGTTTGGGTTTGTTTGGTGTGTTGGGTTTGTTTGGGTTTGTTTGGTTTGTTTGGTTTGTTTGGGTTTGTTGGGTTTGTTGGGTTTGTTGGGTTTGTTTGGGTTTGTTTGGTTTGTTTGGGTTTGTTGGGTTTGTTGGGTTTGTTGGGTGTGTTGGGTTTGTTTGGTTTGTTTGGTTTGTTGGGTTTGTTGGGTTTGTTGGGTTTGTTGGGTTTGTTGGGTTTGTTGGGCTTGTTGGGCTTGTTGGGTTTGTTGGGTTTGTTGGGTTTGTTGGGTTTGTTGGGTTTGTTTGGGTTTGTTGGGTTTGTTGGGTTTGTTGGGTTTGTTGGGTTTGTTGGGTTTGTTGGGTTTGTTGGGTTTGTTGGGTTTGTTGGGTTTGTTGGGTTTGTTGGGTTTGGGTTGGGTTTGTTGGGTTTGTTGGGTTTGTTGGGTTTGTTGGGTTTGTTGGGTTTGTTGGGTTTGTTGGGTTT